TGGAAAGTGATCTAAACCAAGACAGTGGCAATCACTGTTATTAAGGCAATTTTAAAGCCCTCGGGCCAACAGTCAAATCCTGTGTGAGCTAATCACTGAACCTGACTCTACGCAGACAGTTAGTTGTCACAAAATAAAAACTATGTATGTTGTCCCTTACATCCTTATGAAGCAGACGGGGATCTCTCTGAAACAGAAGGCTCAGAACAGATTCTGAAAGCATGTTTATGCACTCTCCCATGAGCACTCCTTAGCAACCAACATCCGATTAACAGAACATCAAACTTTTTAAGTGTGTGCTACAATGTTTTGGTCACTCCCATGGAATCAATGAAAAAGTACTTTTCTTACTTACAGAAAGCACAAGAAATAAAACTAACTCTTAGTGACAGACTAAGATACGGCCAAACTCCTCTCAAAAAACAGGTGTTCTTAAAATTAAAAAAAAAAAGGGGGGGTGGTGTGCGGGAAATGAAGGGACTGAACTATCCCTGGCCTCAGACTGAATTCTCGCTGCAGAACTTCAGAACTCTCATTTCAAGACTTTTAAGGCAGGAGAAAACTAATGCAAGATATTCTTTATGCCACTGAGAAAAATTGCAAGTATGATGAGGAAGTCTCAGGATGTTCAAAGAGCTGGATGGCTAAAGACTCTGCGCGTATGAAAAAGAGCACCAGACTGCGCTCTAGAATCAAGAGTCCCTGAGATAAAGCGACTTCCAAACTGACAAAACCGTAACACTGAGACGTGACGTACCAGGCCACACAAACAAAATCTTGTTACAGGAGACTTATCTACGAGAAAACTAGCTAACGATGATGATAGTGGTCATCATTTACCAAGTGATTCCGTGCTGGCATACATACTTTGCATACAGGAGGAAACCAGAAGTTAACTCATCTGCCTGCCAAGTAGAGAGGATTAGGACTCAGGTCCCCCTAATCTTAAGCCTTCAGAGACTCTTACAGACTGTGTTATACTGCCTCCTACAGGTGATCAAAGGCTCCAGAGCGGCGAGGGAAAAAAGGGACTGAACCCTCCCCAAAGGAAGAAGTCAGTCAGTTCTTGAAACTGTCACTCACTCTAATAAGACAAAGAGATTACGTAGGTGGTACCTGGGGTCAACAGCACAGTCACACCCCAAACTAAGGTTAGTTAGAATGAAAACAGAGACATGATTAGGATCAATTCAGAGTGGAAACATCCAAAATCCAATCAAGGGAACCAAGAGACTGCCTCAGACAACCAGGACTTCCTATACTGCACTGTCTCCAGTCTAATGGAGGCATGTGGTAAGAGCTAGACGGTCTGCAGATTGTACCTATAAAAAGGGCGTTTCAGGGGGACCAAGGGGAAGGCAGGGATAATTCAGAGATCAAGGTTAGGAAGGGCTCTGCCTAGGAATGAATTTCCTGCTCCAGATATGCGCCCAGGGGAGAAGGAGACACCACACCAAGTCCATTATGAGGTTGTCCAACTAATTCCCTTTCCTCTGATTTCAGGTTCACTAAGCAGCTAATTATAATTTGCATTCCCATTCAGATTTGCCTACAGGGAGAGAACATGCTGATAAGAGTAACTGGTCCACTGTAATACTAAGAAAATTCATTCCAACTGTCTTCTTAAAATTTTCTAAATACCAACCTACCATTATTTAGAAAAGCAGACTTCCATTTTCACAAATCCCCCACCTCCATCATCTCACTAAACAACTTCAAGAAGATATTACTTAACCCTTTAAAGCCTCAGCCTCCTCTTCTGTAAAACGGGAACAAATTACCTTGCAGAGTAAGGCAAATGTGTGTTTGGCATACGGAAGACAAGGAAACATTAGTTCTGTTTCACTCCACCGCCCAAGCTCACAAACCTACTAATTGCAGAAAGCTGAGATCTGAACCCAGATTTACTCCAAAATCCTTTCTTTTTCCATTACAACATTCCTTATAGGCTCTAGTCTCAGTTGTCACCAAGGACTCTAGACTTAGCACAATTTACTTAACCTTTCTGGGCCTTCTATCTTTAAGCGACCTTCCTTCTAAGGCTTAGGCAACTAAAATTTGTACAAAAACTATCGCCATTGTCCACTGGGAAAAATAACCTTCTGCTTTAAAGCCTTAACTTCTGGAGGAACTTCTGTGGTACGGAGTTATCGGACAATGTAACTCCAGTATAAGTGTTCTGAGCAGAAAGATCACTCCAATAAAAACACAGAGGGACTAATATCTGAAAGCTGACTTTCTAAAGCCAATGACTGGCTACCAATACAAAAGGATGAATTCCACCCACCACCACAGGTTGTTTAAAAGTCTTAAAAGGAGGACTGATCAATATCTGGTTGGTTTGAAAAGGGATTACGAAAATGGTAAGACTACCACCTTCATGCTGGAAATATTATAAGAACTAAGAGCTAAAGCATGGCTCACTTGTTTTGTAACTAAGGACTTACGATCTCAAGCAGTTCGGTAAATATACTCCCTACCAGTCTAAGTCATCCACTCGAGACAACTTCACGTTAAACATTTCTAATAGGCTAAATTTAAAGTCAACTGCATTTGTAAGAAACGTTTTGAAAATGGGAAGATTACAGAAACTCAGCACAGAAATCTGGGTAGAAGGAAACAAGAAAATGCAGTAATTTACCAAAAACATGCCTGTGGTATGCAAGAAAGTTCAACAAGAAGTTCAAGGGAGATGAATTTAGTAAAATTATTCACAAGAGAAAGGACTGTCAATCCAAGCAGCTTCCTCTACATTTACATACTACTCTCACATTTCACATTTTCCTGACCTGATAGAAATTTTCTCGGATGGATGTTTTCCTGAAAGGGCTGGAGTCAAAGGTTAACGAAATTGTCTCACTCATTCTTCAAAGAGTTACCAGCTTTTACTTCCACCGGCACGCTAAAAAACTATGAACACAGGGCAGTTCTCTAAAATCACAGCTAATAAAACTTTTGACCGCAAAAATCAATCTTTTAGGGTGAAAACCTTCAACCTCGCTTTATTAAACTTTCCCTTTGATTTAATCTGATGGGCAAAGAAAAACTACGTTATAAAAAAAAATGTAAGAGAAATTCAGCGCTACGATTAGAAAACTGCCATTGCATGCCCCTCCCCACCCGCGGCACAGATAACTTTGGGAAACTTGCTCCCAGCCTTTCTAAAGCCCCGCGCAGAAGATCCCGCGCCTCTCCCACCTGGAACGATGCCTCCGCCCGGGAAAGTGGTTTTAGGTGATAACCGCTTTCCCTGAAAGACCTGAAAAGCGCGAGCAGGACCTACTGTACCTGGGCGTTGGCTTCCTGGAGTTTGTGCTCGGTGGAGACGTGATGCCTCAGCAGGAGAGTCTTCTTGTAGTTGCGGGTGCCTCGCGACAGCTCATCGTGCCCCACCTGGGGAAGGTCCCCGCTTCCCCCGTCTTCGGGGGGCTTGTGGCACCAGCCGCAGGACATCAGGCCAGTCTCCTTGGAGTACCGCAGCCAGGGGAAATCTTTGAGCCAGGAGGTCTGGAAGGAGCACTGGAGCTTCTGCAGCAGGGACTTGGGGCGCGCGAGCGGGAGCTGCTGGACGGCCTCGCCTTCGCCAGCTCCCACGCCGCTGCCCTCCGCTTCGTCCCCGCCATCGCCGCCCGAGCGCCTGCTGCTGCCGCAGCTGCCGCCTTCCGCCCCGCTGCCGTCGCCCAGGCTCGCCCCCTCCTCCTCGTCCTCGCTGCTATCGCTCAGGGACGCGCCGTCCTGCATCGCCTCCTTCCCCTCCAGCGCGTCCAGCTCCAGCTCCACGGCCGCCGGCCCGCGCCCATTGAAATGCCTCGGGGGCCACGCCGAGGGCTCGGGGCGCCCGCGGCTGCTGCCATTGTTGCCGAGCCCCCCGCCGCCGCCGCCGCCGCGGAAGGCCAGAGTCCGACGGTTCCTCTCGGCGAGCAGGGGGCCCCCCGCGCCGCCGCCGCCGCCCAGCGAGCCGGGGCCCCCCGCGTCCGGGGGCAGCAGCGCCTCCTTGGCGTCGTCGGCGGCCGGCCCGGCGGCGGCCTCCAGGGCTTGGGGCTCCAGGCCCTCCAATTCCGCTTCCTCGTCGGCCCCCCGCCCATCGGGCTGCGGGGGCGCGGGCGGCGGGAGCTGTCTCGGCTGCGGCTGCGGGGGCCAAGCCGAGGCCTCCCCGCCGGCGTTATTGTTCGCGGAGCCGCCGCCGCCGCCGCCGCCGCCGGCGGTGACCAACCCGCCTCCTCGGAACGCCAGCGTCCTGCGGTTCATCTCACTGAACGACATGGCGCGCGCCGCCCGCCCGGTGCTCCGGCCCGCGCGCTCCCCGCCGCCGCCGCCGCCGCGCCCCCGCCCCGGCGTCCCGCTCTCGCGCGTCCCGGCCTCGCCCTCGCCCTCGCCCTCCCGCCCGGCCGCCCGGCCCGCGCTCGCGCCCGGGGCCGCCGCCCGCGCCCGCCGCCGCCGCCGCCGCCTCCTCCGCGCGGGCCGCCGCCTCGGGCGCCCCCGCGTCCTCCGCCCCCGCCCCGCGGCGCCCGGCGGCGTCCCGCGCGGAGAAGGGGGCGGCGGCGGCGAGGCGACGAGCAGAGCCGGGCGCGCGGGGCCTCCGAAGTTGCGAGGCGGCGGAGTGCGGGCGCCCCGCCGCTGCCCCGCTCGCCAGCCGCGCGCACACCGAGCCTCCCCCGGCGAGCCTGCCTCCGGCGCGCCGCCGACTCCCGCCGCCGCCGCCGCCGGCTCCGAGGCGCGCTACGCGGCCGGCCGCCGCCACATCGCGAGCCGACAATAAAGCCGGCGGAGCGTTTCCGTCCGACCAGGCCCCGGCGGAGGTCGAATGGCAAATGAACAACGGACCGTGCGCCCACAATGCACCGGGGTAGCAGTAACCGCTGGAGGGGGAGAGGGTGGGGGCGGCGGGGGGAGGGGGCTGGGCCTGGGCTGGGCCGGCTGGGGTGGGGGCGCCAGGGGACCGGGAAAGGGGCCGGGCGGCGCTCCGGCCTGGGGGCGGGGGTGCGGCCGGGGGGAAGGAAGTCGGCCGCGGGCGGGGGGACAAAGGCCGGGCGGCCGGCCGGGGGTCTCGGGGAGGGGCGGGCGCGTGCGGCCGGGCCGGGCCGGGCTGCGCGGAGGCCGGACAGCTGGCGAGTGTCAGGGCCGCCGCCCGGCCGCACGCACCTCCCCGCGCCCGGGACGCGCGTTGTCCCGGCCGCGCCACGAGTTCACCTGGGACTTTGCAAATAACTGTGCCACCGGTGGCAGCTGCGCTCCAGCCCGGCGTTTGGCTGGGGGCAGGCGGCGGTGCCCGGGGAAGTGAACTTATTTTGTTCCTGCACAAAGACTGGACCAGGCGGTGCCTTTCACGCGAGGAGGTGCCGAGCACGGACACCTCGTCGTCGGATGCATTGTGTGCGCGAGCAGCACCTCGGGCCCCAGGCGGTCATCATTTCACAGAAAATGCACCGCCCCGAGTGTCTTATTGCTGTGATGAAATGGAAATTTAAATAAAAGGTCGAACACGTGCGTTCACTGGGAAGTATTGACATGGGTGTTACATCACCAGCAGCCAATCAGATAACGCCAGTCGTGTTTATACTTCTACAACCACCTTGTGAGTATTACAGTATGTCATAACGTTATAAATATTAGGCAGGGTTTTCCCCAGGAGCGGGAGGAGCCTGCTGATACGGACGCTCTGTGCGGCTCCGAAGATTGTGCGTTTAAAGACGAGAATTGGTTTTTAAAGCTGATTTTTTTCTTAACTGTCTACATTGCAAGTGGAATTCAGAGTGATTAGAAGCACAAATTAAGATGGAAATGAACCTCTTATCCTCTTGGTCGAGTTTTTCAGAAAAAGGTTTTCCAACCTAGAGCCCTTAGACTCCTTATTTTTTAAATTTTAAGATGCTAAATTTAGCGTATTCTGAAGTTTAGATTCATTTTACTATTTTACAGTGTGAAAGCTTAAATTATTTTTATTTAAACCTGTTTCAGATAAGAAAGAAATGTTAAACTATGGAGGGGTTTTTTTTTTTATTCCTTTAAGAAATGTATTAAGTTTAATCACAAACTAATATGTTCAAGATAATTATTGAGTGGAAAAAATATTTATATGGTAGGGTACATTTTTTCATTAATATAAAGATATGCATAGAAAAAGAAATACACATCAACTCTTTACGGTTATAGATTACTATTAGAGGCTTTGATCTACTTTATGTATTAATGGAAAATGATGTGTTTTGTAAAGAGGATGTACTACAGTTTTTAGGCCCTCTGGTTTTCTGATTCTGTTCTCTTCAGGAGTTTCTATTTTTAAAAGAGCTAATGCTGTGAATATATAATGTGGAATATGGTAGGTTTTTCAAGGTTAAAAAACAGCTTTTCCCAGCCATATTATAAAATACCATTTGTCTTAGTATTTTTCAATGGACTAAATACACGTGTGCACTCCCAGCCTCATTTATACTGTTGACTGTGTAGATTCCTTCAAAGCAACTTTCACTTAGTTCACTGTAATTCTGATATCTGTATAAATGTTGTGTCTCAAACAAAACACATTGGTTCTGCCTTATAGATGAAATGTCATTTTCATGTAAAAAATGATGCTGCTGACCTACCACAAGAAGATTTTGGCATTGAGTTATTTTTCCGGTCATGATCGTGTTGTCACCTGGCCACCAGCGATCCCCAGCTTGAAATTCCCATATGGGTCTTCAGAGTGGTACAGTTTGTGGGTTTTTTAAATTTCTTTTGTCCTGCTTTGTTTCAGTTGTTGGAAAGTTTAAAAGTGTAGGGTCTTTGCCATTGACCGAATTTTTCCCTTTGAGAAGTGACAGGATTCTGTCTGCTTAGCTGTATATATGTGCTTCCATGTAATATATGGAAGAATGTTATAATAATACTGTGCTTTGTCCTCAATGCGTTTTTAAAATTCCAGGCACTTTGCAAATAAATACATTATTTATAATATTTTAACCACCACTGCTTCCCTCGTAAAAAAAAGGTGAGAGTTACTGAAGTTAATTTCTTATCTAGGCTTAAAGTGATGGGAAGTGAAAATGGACTTGAGAATTTTTATTTCAACTTTAAAGGTTGTTTTCATTCCAAAACTGTTAAATTCATATCTTTGTTTCTTTTCATCTTACATGCCTGGTACATAATGGGCACTATGTAAGTTTCTGCTGGTATTATTATTTTTGCTTTCTGCGAGTGTCAATTACCAAAAATGCTTGAATCCATAATGGTGTTAATTGTGTCAGGAGTGTATTTTTCTCAGACATATATCTTACCTTATATTTTGTAAGATCCACATTGTCTTCTGTCTGGAGTTATGTTTAAACGTGGGCTAATTAAGAATGAACGACACGAGATTCAAGTGGTACAAATAAATGACAAACTCTGGGACCACTGAACTCCTCACAGCCGAATAGAGTGAGTGTGCGGTACATGTATGTGTGTGTATGTATTTATGTTTTTGTCATTTTGTATGTATAAATATATATTCTTCTCTAGACCCTGAAGGAAGATCGGATCAGCAAAGTTCAAGGGACCAGTATTCACAAATGTCTCAGAACAGCCTGTACAAGGGAACTTTGAGTAACAGAAGGGGATCTCCTGTTCTGTAAATGGAGTTTTTAAGAATTCCCCCACCCCTTCCAGTCTCCTACCAGCAAGCAGGGATCTGTTCTCCCCTCTCGCCCCTATATTTACTGTTGGGGTTCTACCATAGTCAGGGGGATTCCCCTTTATACTTACCAGGGGAACCCCTCAAGAATGGGGCATCCCCACCAGTTTGTCCCCTGCTTTCTCTTTGGGCTATGTAAAACTGCTGTAGGTTACCCTGATCCCGGGCCACTGTCACTGCAGTGGGGCTGAGCTCCTGGATCGGGGTCAGCTGATCTTCCGTCAGACTTGACTGTCCCTTACTGCCCCCGCAGAGGCCCTCTGCCTCTGTCTGCACTTTGCCACTGTAGCTTCCAGTGACAATGGCCTGTGATTCTGCGTGTGGGGTTGATGCGTGTCATCCACCAGAGTGAAGCTCCTGAGAGTAGAGACTGTGCGTTATTCACTCTTAGACTTTCCTACCCCAGCCCCACCCTGGCACATAGTAGGCAATTAGTAAATTATTCCAATTGTTGACTAATTTATCTTTCCTTGCAATCTATTTTGAGAGGCAACATTTTCTTCTCTTTCTTCTGTTTTTTCTCAGCTAAGTAAAAAAAGTATTATTTTTAAAGGTATTGAGCTAATGTTTCCATTGCATTTATATTAAAAGCAACAGTACTCTTATATACATACAATGGAATATTATTCAGCCTTAAAAAGAAGGAAATCCTGCCATTTGCAACAACATGGATGAATGTGGAGGCCATTATGCTATGTGAAATAAGCCAGGCATAGAAGGAAAACCGCTACATGATACCACTTATTTGAGGAATCGAATCAAACTCATAGAAGCAGAAAGTAGAATCATGGTTGCCGGGGCCGAGGGGAGGGGAAAGGAGAAGTATCAGTCAAAGGGTAGGAAGTTTCGGTTATATGAGATGAAGTCTTAGAGCCCTGCTGTGCAGCGTACTGCCTATAGTTAACAATGCTGCATCGTATACTTGAAATTTTGCTAAGAGAGCAGATCCTAAGTGTCCTTATCATAAAAAAATAATAAAGTGGGCAGTAGGAAACTTTTGAAGGTGATGGATATGTTTATGGCAAAGATGGTGGTGACGGTTTCACGGGTGCATATTTGTTTCCAAACTCATCAAGTTATATACATTAAATATGCACAGCTTTTTGTATGTCAATCATACCTCAATAAAAGCGTTTAAGCAAAAAAAGAAAGCAATGGGAATCATATAGTTATAAAATTAAATTATTAGCACCATTTTCTTTGTAGCTTACAGTGAATTACAAACACTTCACACAACCTCCTTGTGAGTTAACCCAGGGTAAGAAGTGCTATCCTCATTTAACAGATGAGGAAAAGCAAGTACAAAAAGGTTAACCGACTTGTTCAAGGCTTGTAAGGTTGCAGACAACAGTATACGCTCTAGTCTAAGGCATTCGTAGCTACTAAAACACACGATATACTTAATATTATATCTGCATGGTTATAGTCTATACTAAATTTTTTTTTTTTTTGGTGAGGAAGATTACCCCTGAGCTAACTGCTGCCAATCCTCCTCTTTTGGCTGAGGAAGACTGGCCCTGAGCTAACATCCATGCCTATCTTCCTCTACTTTATATGTGGGATGCCTACCACAGCATGGCTTGTCAAGCAGTGCCATGTCCACACCTGGGATCTGAACCGGTGAACCCCGGGCCGCTGAAGTGGAAGTGCGCACTCAACCGCTGCGCCACCAGGCCGGCCCCTACACTAAATTTTAAACTTTCTTTTTTATTGTTTAAATGTGCTCATAGGAGAAAAGAAAAAGAAAAAAGATCACCCATTATTTTCCATACCCGACTGTAAACGCAGTCTTCGTTTTCTGTGCCTAGCTAAAGTTGTTTTTGAGTGTTTATGAATTAGATCTTAGCATATTTGTACTTTGAGTTATTAATATGCTTTCATATGATTAAATGTTTTTGGTATCATTTTAATGGCTATGGATATACCATAATTGATTTAACCAGTCTTCCATTGTGGAACTTTTCATTGTTTATGGGTTGTTGTTGTGGGGTTTTTTTTTTTTGCCATTATAAACAGTTCTTTAGTGAATCCCTGAAACTAAAACTTTTTTCTGTTGTTTAAGATAAATTCTAAAAGAGGAACTTCTGGCAAAGGGAATGAACATTTTAATAAAGTCTTACTAGTACCACATGACTCCCCTCCAGAGATGCTCTCACAAGTGTAAAAAGTACCAAAAGCAAATACTATTAGGGAGGCAGTTTTATAATATTGGGCAGTGAAAGACCTGTTTCTAAGCAGAACACAAAAGCCAGAAACCTTAAAGGAAAAGATGGACAGAATGGACAATATAAATTGTGAAACTTTTGTTTTTCAAAAACATAATAAAGGTTTTTTAAAGTAAGTTAGGAAGAAGAAATCTGGGATATATGTGACAGACAAAGGCTTAATATGCCTGATATACAAAGGGCTCTTATAATCTATCAGGCAAACGTATAGTAGAAGAAGAAAATGCACAAAGGACGTGTATTAGAAAATCACATTAGAAATAAAAGTGACGAGTAAACATATGAAAAGATGTGCAGACTTGGCCAGTAATCAGAGAAGTGTACATAGAAACACCAGTGGATAAGTAATTTTTCAACCCATCAGAGAAATATGAAAATGAATATAGTTGGGAGTGTAGATAGGAATAACTTTTCTGGTAGGCTGGTTGGCTGTATGTGTCAAAATATAAAATGCATATATATCTTCTTACCCAGGAATTCCAGTTCTAGGAGTTTATCCTAAACGGGTGTGTTAAGATGTCTGTGGGGCCAGCTCTTGTGGCCTAGTGGTTAAGTTCACGCACTCCGTTTCTGTGGCCCAGGTTCAGTTCCTGGGCGCCGACCTACACCACTCGTCTGTCAGTGGCCATGCTGTGGTGGCCACTCACATACAGAAAGAGGAAGATTGGCAGTGGATGTTAGCTCAGGGTGAATCTTCCTCAGCAAAAAAACCAGTCTGTGCAAGGGTGTTTATTGTAGCACTTTAAAAGTCTGAAAAACTTGAGCTTCCATCAGTGTGGGGTTATTTTCATACATTATGGTGCGTACTTGTAATAAATTATTGATAGCTGTTAAAAAGGTTGATGTGGGGGCTGGCCCCACGGCGCAGTGGTTAAGTGCGCACTTTCCCCTTTGGTGGCCCAGGATTCGCTGGTTCGGATCCCAGGTGTGGATGACATGGCACCGCTTGGCAAAATGCCATGCTGTGGTAGTTGTCCCATGTATAAAGTAGAGGAAGATGGGCACCGATGTTAGCTCAGGCCAGTCTTCCTCAGCAAAAAGAGGAGGATTGGCAGCAGTTAGCTCAGGGCTAATCTTCCTCAAAAAAAAAAAAAGTTGATGTATTATGTAAGTCCAAGGCTTATTGTTGAGTGAAAAAAATAACATATCAACATATATAATAGGAATAATTCATCCAATTAATATTTATCAAGCACCTACTCTTTTAAGCACTGGGCATAATTATGTTGCTGGAAAAAACAGCCATGTTCCCTAGAGCTATACATAAGTTCCTAGTAAATATAAGCCTGGAAAGTAGTTTAAAAGGATATTCACCAGAATGGGGACAATAATTATCTCAGTAGTAGAATTTCAGTTTCTAGAAAACTTTCTTATACAATACACCTTCTATACTGTCTTATATTGAGAATGTTTGTTTACCTTGAGTATATAATCCAAGCAACCAATAAAGCTATTTTTATTTGGGGGAGAAAAGTTAACTTTGATAATCAGTGATGTATTTTCCTCCAAGACTTCTGGGGAAAAGTACTATTCATTCTCCTTTTTCTCTACTTATTGTGAACCACTTTGCCCTGCCCCCCAAAAATAAACACAAAAGATTTAAAAGATAAAAACCAGTGTTTCTTTTCTTAGAAAATTCCAATCCCTTTAGAACACTATTTTTCAAAATCTTAAGTTGACGTGCATACGTCCAGGGAGGCATCTCCAGGTATCTCAATAAACCACACATTCTGGCGGTCCATTCCATTCCATTCCTCCTGGGAAGCCAGTAATCTTCTCAAAATGCCAGTCTGATCCTATCACCCCACCCACACTTAACCGTACAAAGGTTTCAATTATTTTCTGTTGGTCTACATCTCAAAACACTTTTTCAATGCCTGCAGAGCCCAGTAAGGTCTGGCTGCCTTCCACCGCTCCAGCCTCATCTCGCGCCCGGTTCCCCCCTTTCTCCAACACTCTCCCCCAGAAGCTGGCCTCCTCCTCTCCTTCATGTTTGCTTGATCCCTGTCTGGCCTTTGCACAAGCTGTTCCCTGTCTGTAACTCTCTTCTGTCCCTTCTCCTCATTAACCCACATTCATCCCTCCATCACTTCCTCAAGGCAGCTTTCTCTGACCTCCCACACCCCCCAACATTCAAATATCCCATTGCAGATTCTCCTAGTGTTTTTTAACTCTCTGTCACAGCACTTGTCACAATTGCAGTTTTTGAACGTGTAATTATTCGAATTTTGCATACTCCTCCAATAAACTTACAGCTCAGTGAGGGCAGGGATCATTTCTGGTTTTGCCAATGTTGTAGTTCCAGCATTTAGAAGCAGTGACTATGACACAGACAATCAGTAAGGATTTGTTGAATGACTCAATTTACGAACGTGCAAATTTGCAAGCACTAGGTACACACAACCTTGAACTTTCAACAAAGACTAAACCATAGAACAGAATTTTACCGAATAGACTAGTAGAACAGAGATATGTTATGGTGGGTTTTAAGTGTT